AAAAAAAGTGTAATAAGATTTTATTTACATTATACAACAGTTGCTTATCAAAGAGAAAAAAAATAGATTCATCGATCAAGCTTAGAGTATTAATAATTTAATACGATTGAAGAGGTAGATGCAGGTGACATGAACAAGTCCTGGACGATTAAAAGCAAAAAGAAGAATTGCCATTAGTCATATTCTGTTAAATTAAAATTCACACTTGAACTGAATGAAAAAGCTAATTAATACTGTGAAGATCATGATTATCATATTGAGTAAACTAAATTGTATGATAATCAAAAATTGAAGAGCTTTTTCTTTTTTATTCGAAAAGCTATGAAGCCTTTCGAATAGAGTTTCATTGTCTTTCATGTATAGAAGCATGTTTTAATCAAATAAAAACAAAAAAGAGAAAGGCAAATGCCGTCCAGCGTCTAATTCGAAACAAGGCTCTTCAAGCATTGACAATGACGATTAGATGAAAAGATAACAATAACATATTCAATTGCTTGCTTACGATTGTTCGGAATGAACAATGTTGTTTTTTTTAGGTATAGAGACAGACAGACAGACAGACAGCCATACTTATCATGATAGTTACATTCATATGACACCCAAGAAGATTCTATGAAAAAAAAATTGTTCACATGAGTGTCATGATGTTTTATTCAATTTTATGATCATTTTAATGTCAGTATATGATGCTTTGAAAATTGTTTATGCGAGAGTACAATGTATATAATTGTTTTTTTTTCTGTAACTATGAATTCGTTTAAGGAAGAAAGCTGGACATATGCCAAAGAGTTCAATGTTCTGTAGAAATATGATAATTGTAAATCAATAGACTGATTATTTCAACGTCTGAGATGTTTTAGTAATGAGAATAATAATAGAATAACTCGAAATTAAATAATAACTAGCAGTGTAATACAATGAATTTATAATAATATAATTTTATTTAACGTACATAAACAATTATTTTTAATAATTACAAAAAATAAAGATATGAAAAAGAAAATAGAATCTTACTTTAATTAGAAAAAAAATTTTCAACTGTAATATTTAAAATACATATTTATTCATAATCAGTATTTAGATATTAGAATTCAATTTCTATCAGTCAATTCAAAACATTTTTCTCTTTGGATTGAAAGAAAACATATAATCACACGAAAGGTATCTTATCAAGGATATTTTTGTTAAGGTTTTTTTTATGATACATATGTAAATAATCTCGTGATTCTACTAGCAAAATTTACCAAAAAAGAAAAGATTTGTATGTATGATTTTTTCGGTCATATGTTGTCTTCAAAATCAAGCAGTAGTCCTTCCAATCTTCGACAAAATGAAAATTATATATCTGATAATGTATTACTCTAATTATGATATTTACTCTTTTTTTTTTGAATGTTTTCAAAAAAACCTTGTTTTTAAAAATTAGGAAAGTAGATTTTCATAGGTAACTCGATGTACTTTATTCAACAACACTGAATAAATTAAAAACAAAGATTTGCTGAAATATATGAATTTTCGAACTTTATTCTTTATATATTTTCATTACTAAATCCATTCGCGACATAGTAACTAAGAAATAATCTAACTATACATTAAAATGCATTTATATGCAGAATCTTTTATATGTAGTAACAGATTTTATCTGACATGTTTATTAGTTTCGAAAATGAAAAAGCTTTTTGTATTGAATTTAAAGTATCACAAAAGAGTATGATTCACTGTTTGCATAATTTACAGAACAAGTATTTATTCACAGCAAAACTAAATTTACTCTTCTATGCGATGTACCGAAAGTTAAAGTTCGAAGAAAAGTGCTTAATACAACATTACAATAAGAATAAGTAATTGCAAAAGAATGAAGAAAATTTTCGAGATAGACACAGAGCTGTCACCTCTGGAGTGTAATGCGTAGGAAGTTGCACCAAAATCGTTTCCTATAGTTTGTGAGTGTAAATTGACTTTTGGTACGCACAATAATACGATATCGTATTTTATCGTGCCGTGCATAGTTAATCACGGTCTGAAAATCGAGTATTCAATTGTCTACAATACATTGATATATGATCATAGTACTGCGCTTAACAAATGGTAAAAAACCTTTTAGAAAGGTTGCTCACAACCAGGCTTATTTGACTTAGAGAAATGTGGAAAGACTGCCTTGGTCGAGCGAAATGACATGCATTTGGTTCGTATACGCACCGTATTTTACGACTGTGTTTAATGAGAATAGGGCATACAGTCGGAGACAAAAGTTTTAGTGAAATTAGTTCTTCGGTATTTTGTTTTTCATATTATGAGGTACGGATCTAATTCAAATGGTGATATAGATAGTATGAGAGGTCAGCTACATGGTGTATTATAGAACCAAACTCTAGCAGCCTATATAGGGTTTTTATACTTAAAATATTTTTTTCCATGCAAAAACAGGTTTAAGTGCTTTCCAGTATTTCGCATTTTCTAACCAAAGAGATTTAAGCTAAAATAAAACCAAATTATATCGATCGATAGAGCATTTCACGTTCTATCAGTTAATAAAAAAAGAGTTTTTGTTCCAGAGTCCATCTTCGCTTCCAAAACTTGGTTTTAGTGAGAATAGTCAGTAAAAAACGGAAAAAGTGAACTATCTCCAACTGACTTCTTCTTATTACAATGTTTTACACACCGTTGGAAAGAGCACTCAAAAGTGAACAAAATATTGTATTTGAAGTTCCAATATCACTGATTTTTCACACCCATCTTATTGTAATAAAGTTTTGAGAAACACAATTAGCGTTTCTTTTTTAATTATTTTGACGGGAGAAAAATGCTCACTATCCTCACTAAAACCAAGTTTTGAAGGCGAAGATGGACTCTGAAAAAAACTGTTTTTAATAAACTGATAGAACGTGAAATACTCTATCAATTGATATAATTTGGTTTCATTTTAGCTTAAATCTCTTTGGTCAGGAAATGCGAAATACTGGAAAGCACTTAAACCTGTTTTTGCATGGAAAAAAATTATTTTAAGTATAAAAATCCTATATAGGCTGCTAGAGCCTCGTTCTATAACACACCATGTAGCTGGCCTCTCATAATATAAAGAAAAAAAAAATACTGAAAAACTAATTTCACTTAAACTTTTGTCCCCGACGGTACATATGATTCAAATACTATATTGTTTACAGTGAACAGAATTTACGACGAAATATGACTGGCTTTTGTATTGTATTTCACTGTAGATGATGAAAACGAATTAAAATTGTTTTATTGATCAAATATTTTAATTGGTATTTGCAAATTAACCTCACATACAATTAAATTGATGTCATGTCCTCAAAGATTATATGTGAAAAAAAAAAAACGAAATTTCCTATTTCATTTGTTGAGTCAATTTCATAGGCGTTTTAGGCAGTAGTTATTCTCGAAGGTTTTATAAATGATCTTTGAAACTATCAGAACAGATAATGATGTCTAGAGCAACCAGTGAAATATTTTTTGCAGTTCATTGATTATATAAAACTATTACATGGTCTTTATTATCTATTTTTCGTATAAAAACAGTTGAAATAATATTCACAGTAATTTACAAGCGACAAGAATATAAATTGTGCTTCCACTTTATTTCGATATTTATTTAAAAAAGAAGACCTATACTATTTTATAAGCTAACCATCATCACCTAGTTCAAAAGAATTTTCATCACTTAAAATAATACCATATGAAGCTTCATCGCTGTTACTATAGTCGTCACTACTTCCATCATCACCATTCTTTTTTTCTTTGCTTTTTTTTTCGTTGTTGTTTTTTTTCTTTAGTGTACATCGATAAGTGCTTCTATTGACTTATAATTTATTTATGCTTCACCTATATTTTAAGTAACCATAAGGATATTAAATAAAAGAAAAACTTCGGTGTTTGTTCAATATTGATTTTTCTTGATATTCATCGAACGAAGAACAAAAAATTTTTTCATCGATAGATATATGCGTAATCGTTCAGATACGAGAAAAATGATTTTCTAATTATAACTGTCAATGATAGTGGAACCATGAGTTTTTCTGACTTTTGAGATTTAAATAATTCGAAAAATACTGCAAAGAAAGTATTAAAAAAAATCTCCTTTCCCTTACTCGAAGTGGTAAGAAGTTCGCTTTTCAATGATAGCAACTTGAGCTCTACAACTTGGTTCATGGAAATCTTCTGAATAGTAAAATATGAAAAAATCTTTTTTTTTTCATTAATATCCACCAGTCGAATATCTATTTAGAGTTTCATCAATTAGCTCATGTATCCTGTCAAAGTTAGACTATTGACTGAAAAGCCTTAATGCTTCTTGTCAGATTACTTAATTATATTTTTAAGTTTTAAGTATTGAATATATTTTGTACTAAGGATGAAACTACTTCAATTGTAATCTATCGTTTGAACTCATATTGAATCTACAAGAAGGTCTTGATACGATTAGAAAAATCCTAGAAGAGTTGATGCCCATGGGCCTCTGGAGTCGATCTTTGACCATTTTAGTGAAATGACCCTTAAAATATCCTTAAAGCTTCAGTCAAAAAGAATGTTTATTTGTCGAGATATTAAATTTCTAACAACTAGTCAGCTATCACAAAAATGGAGTTTACTTGGAAATTCAATATCTCGACAAAGAAACACCTTTTTCAACTGAAACTTTCAGGATAGTCTAAGAATTATTAACTCTATATACGAGCAAAACTATAAGTTAAAATTCTGTTATTTGATTTTCTATTTTAAATACAAAAAAAATGGGTCAAAAATCGACTGTGGAGGTTGATAGGTACGAGCCCTTCTAAGCTTTTTCTAGTCTTACTGAGACTTCCTTATGAGCTGAAACGGCAAGTTATAGTTCGAATACTTTCCTCGCAATTAAAATTCACAAGCGTAAATATCTTTATTTGATGCAGGAATCTACAAAAAAAAAAAAAAACTTCCAATAAACTCTAATTCATTAACGTTAATTTATAGAAATTATTCAATGAAAAATCTTTTATATATTAGCTATTCATTACTGATGTACTTCTAGATGTATGAAGAGTTTGTGTTCGCAGATAACCCATAGATTTCTTAAGTTCTTGAAGTGACCATCTTAAATTAGGTGGATCAAAATAAGGTACAGGTTTATATTGTGTTTTTCCAGGTGGTCGCCAAACAGGTTCATGATTACGTTTTTGCTCGCGTCTTTCCGGAGTGAGTGATGTTGGTCGTCTTTCTATGTAACGACCTGGAGGTTGCCATACGGGTTCAGATGGTTTAGGTTTTGTTTCTTTATAATTTTTCAGTGTATAAGTAGGTATAGAATGTTTTCGTCTATAAGTATAAATCCATGGTTCCACCTTTGGTTTTTCTGGTTGTGTTCGTATTTCAGGTGATAAATATTCATGAAAAACAGGTGGATGATAGACACCAGATGGTTGCCATGATTGAGTACCAGGAGGAATAGCAACTGAACGAGCAAATTGTTGAAGTGAAAGTGGTGGAGCACTTTGTACACGAAATTTGTAACTCGTAGAGTTCTTTAGAGTATTTCCATCTGAACGAATTGTTTTAGTTCTGAATGTAGGTGACAAACTGCTTCTAACAGCCATTTAATGAGTATTAATATCGTACTGATTGGTTTGAATTGATATGTATATTCAAAAAAAGATTGTTAACTTATTGCCATAGGAGAACGTTATTTTTTTTTTTAATATTTTTTTCGTACTTCTCTTTATTATTCACATACTTCTACGTAACCAGAACAAGTGGTAGCGACAACAGAACAATTATATTTATTCGAAACAGCTTTTTTTTCTTTCGATACTTCGGGTGTCAAATACATTTGTATGTTTTCAAGATGGCTATGCCGTTCTTTTTTCAAAAAAAAAGAGAAAAAATGAAAAAAGAAGAAAAAAGTAGCTGCTTCTCAGTTATATCAAAACATTGCATGTCTATGTTAAAAAAAAACTTTGCGGTCGTTTTTCTTTCAACAATAAAAAGTTTATGCTAATCTTGCTGTCTTATTCACTTTATCATTAGAAGATAAAACATTGGGTGGCATTAAACGAGTATAACTCGTATTAGTCGATGTTCCATTACGAAGAATCGACTTTGGCATTGAATCATTTGATTGATAAGGAGTTGATGGAAATGATTCTGAATTTATATAATTATTAACAACTCCAGAAGTAGAAGGAGAAGCAAAAGGATCAAAAGTACTAAAAGGCCTCGAAGATGCTATTGATGCAGTTGAAGTGTAAGGAATAGGTTCAGAAGAAATAACTGATTGTGACAGTGGATTATTAGTAGATCGATCAGCCATATTAACATAGGGTGTAATATTCGCAGAACGATATGGACCGTTCTCTGATGAACTAGCAGGTGGAATACTTGTAGGACGATAAGTTGGATTACTTGCTAGAGGAGATGGTGTAAAAGTTGATGGACGATATGGTGTAATATTTGCTGGACGATAAGGAGTAATATTTGATGAAATTATTGGACCTGTACTAGCTGGACGATAGTATCCAGCATTTAATGGATTAGCAGATGGAATATTAGTTGAAAGATAAGATCTAACATTTGGGGTATCATTTAATGAAATAATCGGTGGAGCATTTGTAATATTGTTCATTGGAGCCATTGATGAAATATTCGGTAATGTAGGTCGGATTATAGGAGGACTCGGTACTTGTGATATTGATCGTGTAGGTGGAAAACGAAGACGTTGAAAGATTTGTTGAAATCGTTGCATTACCGGATCTGATGCCATTGCAGGCGATACTGGTAGTCCTCTAGGTGTAATAGGTATACCGACCGTAGTTGGTCTACTAATCAATTGAGATTGAACAGGAGCAGGAATAATAGGTTGAATATTTGAAGGTGCAACAGTATTTACTCCAGGATTAGCTTGAAGAATTGACAGAGTTCCATTGAATGGATTGATTATTTCAGCAGGAAATACAACAGTTTCAAGTTCTGTATTAGCATCAGCACGACTACCAGGTAAATGTATAGGTGGTAAATGAACAGTTTGCTTTGGTAAATTTTCAATCATTTGTGGAGTTAAATTTAAAACGCCTGTTGATGGAGCTGCAGCAGCAAAACTAGTAGATGGTATAATCAATGGTGATTGAACTGCTTGTATGCATGGATTTGGAATTGGATTAGCAATTATTGTTGTTGGTTGTGTAGGTAATACTGGTTGTTCACAATCATAGTGATAACATACGGGTCGACATCGTCGACGTCGACGACATCGAACACGTTCAATTTCTAGTACACGTTTCGGTGGTCCACGTAAGCCGAGAGTCGGACAAGGATCAAGTGGAACTCTAACGACACGACGTCGTCCACATGATGAACGACGACCTCGTTCTTCTATAACAATTTTTGGTGTGCATGACCTTCGTCTACGTCGATGATGCCTTGAACGTCGTTGTCTAGGCATAATCGGTCGTCTTCTCATTGGTGGACCACCACCATAGGGAGGTATCATAGGAAATGGTGTTCTCCCTGGTGGTGGTGGTGGTGGTGGTGGAGCTGGAGGATATTGTGGAAATGGTGTTCTTCCTGGTGATGAAGCTGGATAGATTTGAGGAAATGGTGTTCTTCCTCCTGGAACTATTGGTCGTGGTCCTGAAGAAGGGCTTGAAAAGGGTGCATTGCCAGGTGTTAATCTTGTAAATGATTCATAATTGCCAGGCATTGCTGAATCGCCACCATGGGCTGGATATGATGGTGATGACAACATTTCTTCTTATCTAATAATAGTATACACTGATACTGAACGACAGTTTTTTTTTCTCTAACGTATTTTTTCTTGTCTGTATTCATTAACGACACGCGTCACTTCACATGCGTATGCATTTACATCAAGGCTTTTGCTATTCCTTTTTTTTACCTTTAACTAGACGAAAACCTTCAGCGTAGACATAGAAGGCAATGAAAGCAATGAACGAATAATGGCAAGTATATCAACATATTCAATCAATCTGTGTCTGTCTGTATTCACTTTTTTGATTCAGCAAGCCATATGAATAAAAAAAAGAACAAAACAAAAACTCTTAATTAATATTTTTCTTTTTTTCAGAATAAACATGTGGTGAATGAAATGTATTCATTAAACGATCCCATAAAGTAAAAAATTGTCTATAATTATATTTATAAAATTGATGATGATCATTGTGATGTGCAGCACCATTTATAATCGGTTGAAGATATTTTAGTACTGAATAATTTCCATCGTGTATACTAACTGTCCAAAAATTAACAAATATAAAAAATCCTAAATAAGATAATTTATGTAATGGAAATAAAAATACATATAAATGTTATGGTGAACTTTGAAGAAAACCATCAAACCATTGAAATGCATGACTTGCAAAAGGTGTTGTATAATCCATCGATGATGTATTTTATGTAAATGTTTGTATAAAAAACGATGATGTAAACCACGATGTATAAAATAAATAAACATATCGGTAAAAAATAGAAAAGTTATAAATTCTTTCAAAAATTGAATTAGATCTAAAGAATGAATTTCACAATAAAAAAAAGATAATAATTTTTGTTAATTGAAAAATTTATTCTAAGGACGTTCAGTACTATCGTATAATTTTGAATAACCATGAATTTCAAGCATAAATATAATAATTGTTGGTAGACTCATAAATGATATATTTTGAAGTGTAACTTTAATTTCTTGTTGAATTTTTACTTTAAGAAATAGTGAATGATTCATTAGACGTTTATCAAATTAAAAAAAATAACTAAAACTAGTTAATAAAAAGTATAAGAGTACTCCATGAATATTAACCAAAACAGATAAAGAAATTAATTGTCGAATAGGATTATTTTCCGGGCCAATCATTTTTTGGATATACATACGGTGTTAAAAGACAATGATCATAAATATTCAAAACAATATTCATCATGAGTTTGAATGTGCCACAGGAAAACAACAAGTTTAACTATAAATAAAGAAAAAAAAGAACTTTTTTTACTGCCCTGCATTTTTGTGATATAAATCGATTGACAGGATACGTTTTTTTCTATTGAGGTAACGAATTGAATACTAATAATGCATAACTATTTTTAAAAAATTATCAAAATAGATTATGTGAAAAGAAAAACTTCAACATTTGACGAAACTAAATTTTCATATTGTTCTTAGTTTGAACAATAAAAACAACAATACTCAATAATACAGCTTTCATACTGATGCGACAAAATAATTTTTTATAATAAATCAAAGTTCATACAAAAACATTTATGTTTATAGTGAGAAATAATTATTTAATTTGAAAATAACTAAGACAACAGAAATTGCCTTTGAATATATTAGAGATGGTAATAGTTACTGAAAATCTCAATATGATGAAAATGAAGAATCAAGTTAGTAGCGAACTTTGAATGTGATACAAGTCTCCATTTTCAATTAGCTTTAGGCCAGAATTTAGAACTCAATGAATTAATTTTAATGGCATAAAACACTCTTCTTCTTGACCTACCTTTGAGAAGCAATGTCGATCTCAACTTCACAAGAATTACTAAAAATAATTATGTTAAAAATTTTAATCTTTATATTAGTTTAGTTCTCATTATTCAAAACTTAGACATTGACTGTAGTAATGAATCTAGGATATCGGTAAATGGAAACTATCATAGTCACAAAATATATTTTCAAGACGAATTAGACATTATCTCCACTCAGTTTCGGGTATTTTCTTCTGAAAAAAAATCGAAAAATAGTTCAAATGGAAGCGACAATTGCCCTGCATGCACTTCTCTAAATTCACCACTAACTGGATGCTTCCCTTTATTGATTGTACACTTACACATAATCAACATGGATATAAATCCTAATTACGTCTATTCTTTGAATATTTCAATACCAATAATACTATGGATGTATGGAGTTCAATTTTTTTTTTCAAAACTCATCTAATTTTAATAGTTGAGATCAGCCTAAGTCATCATAGACATTCAATGGAAAAGAATATTTTATGCAATTGTGATCAACTCATCAAGCTCTACAAATTGGTATAAAGTCGAATGAAAATAAAGACTCAAACTTAGGGATTTTCTCTCTTGAGAATGGCGACTTACTCATGTTTCATGACTTAAAATATTGTCAGATATTGCTTCTCTTGCAAAAAACAAGAAACAAATGAATTAGTGAGCGAATAATATAAATAAATACGAACTTTCGTAAATACAGTTTTGAAAAAGTATTTCTCCGGAAAAATAATCGTAAAATACACAGCAAACTTTTACACTTATCTTTTTGCTGTTAAAATCATAAAGAATTGTTTGTAGATATGAAGGGAGGATATTAGAGATTATGGAACTCGTGCACGACGTCTCGCGCTCATTGACACTCAAAATGATTTGTCCTGCAATTACTATATATAAAATTTCAGGAAAGCAATATATATATATATACCCATAAAAACATATATATCTTTATAAAGAAAAATAGATCACATATCAATCGAAACAAGTTCACTCGGTATAGTAAATAGATGAATAAAACATATAAAAACAAGAAAAAAAAAAAACAATACGTTGTCATCTTTATCTAACTTGTTCAAACAAGCCCGTATCAAGATTTCGTGCCATAAGTGCATCTGGTAATGCATTAGGTATTTTATGATCAATATATAAACGTCGAATAGTATTATCTTGAAGAAAACGTACAGCTACAGGTGATATACGTATACAACCAGATATATAAATTTCTTCAAGAAATGGTTGTGTATGGGCCATAGCAAGAATTGATTGATCAGTTAAATGAAAACAACCGGAAAGAACAAGTGAAATAAATTGACATACACCAAGAAGATCACAGATAGATGAATCAGTTACCTAAATATTTCGAAAATTTTCTTTTTTTTCTAGAAAAATAATTTCAAAAAAAAAATCATATTTTCTTACTTGTTTACATCCTTTTATATTTAAATGTGATAATTTTTTACAACGTTTTAATGATGAAATAAGTGCATCATTAACACAAGGTATACCAGAAAGTTCTAATTCTGTTAAATTTAAACAATTTTCTACTAAACACCATAAAACTCGTTCATTAATCTAAATTAAAAACAAAATTATTAAGAAAAAATTTAATTATAAAATTAAATTTACATTGCGAAATGAACTTAATGAAACACTATGCAGTTGTGAAGCACGTTTTGGTGTACTAAATAATTCTAATAAAGAATCAAGTGTTGATGTAAAACTGAATAAATTTAATGAAAGTTGTCCTAATAATGGACAATAACGAACAATATGTTCAATACTACGATCAGTTAATAATCCAACAGTTATATAACCATTCATTTCAAGTGTTTTAAGTCGACATCCAATAACACTAAGTATCTAAAATGTCGAAAGAGAAAATAAAAATGCTTTTTGTTTTTGAATATCTAAAATTTAATAGACGAACTTTTTCAAGTGCTTGATCATTTATAGTTGCAAGACCATTTATTCGAAGATGTTCCAAATGTGTAAGTCTTGTTAGAGCACGTATTAGAATTTGAGTATTATAAACTTGTGTACCCGATAAACATAAATCAACAAGAGATAATGGCATACAAAAAAGATAATCAGCAACAGGTTCTTGTAGAAAACAAGTTGTATAAGATAAATTTAATTGTAACATATGTGTCGATCGTACAAATAGCTTTGGAAGAGACAAAAAAGTATGAGAAATATTTTTTAAATAAAATAATTTACTGTAAATAATCCATCAGCATCTAAATTGATAATACCGAATAAATTTAAACTAAAAAAAAAACGAAAACTTATTTTTATACATTTTGATTACATTATTGAAATTATTCTAACCTTCGAATATTAGGACAATAATCAACTAAATGTACAAATACTTCAGCATCCAAATATTTTAAACCTTCAATATCTAATATTTCCTATGAATAAAGAAGAAATTAAATAAATTCTTGTTGAACATAGAGAAAAAAAAATAAGACAATAACTAACGAGTTTTTCAGCTAAATTTTGTGCAATGTATGTAACACATTGACTGGTTAATGAATGACAATTAATAAGATGAATCGAACGTAAATTTAGATTATTGGAAACAATTGTTAAAATACCTTGATCTTGAATTTTTTCATTCCATCGAAAATCAATTTCTTTTAAAAATGCCGAATGTATACCATCAAGACCTGCATTTGTTAGATTATTTAATTTTCTTAATGCTATAAATTCGAGTGATAATTGTCCTTTTGTTATCGCACGTACTCCTGAATCTATATGATATATATAAATATATATTTACATTGTAAAAAAGGAATAAACAATTGAATATTGAAACCTACCGTCTACTTGATGGCATTGATGAATAATAAGTGATTTTAATCGGCTAAAAGGACTTGCCTTAGCAAATTCAATAAGCATATCATTAGTTAATTGATAACATTTATAAAATTCAAGAGAATATAATGGAACTGAAAGAAGACTTTTTGTTATATATGGAACAATACTATTTGAAAGACAATCATGTGAAGCAAGCCATCGAAGTATACGTTCACGTTGTTTAGCTGTAAGACATTTGCACAATTCAGGAGGAAGATATGGAAGATGGATAGCAACTTGTTTAATCAGTAGTTCACGTAATTTTAATACCATTGTTTTACATTTAAAATCAATGTAAAAGTTTACGAAGTTTAGTTGCTGATGACATGGCTGTCAGGATGATTCAGAGTTGCTGACAGATCAAGTGCAATATAATTGGTTCAAATAATCGTCAATCAAATTCTTTGACTCTTAAAGTTAATAGAATAGATGATACAATTAAACATAATAAAATTTATTGTTGAGTTCGAATTTAAGAACATTGATATAAAAGAAGAATGTAAATAAATCGTATTATTGCAAATTTTTACATTATCTATAATCAATAGTTTTTGATAAGTTTTATATGCTGCTATTATATACAATATTTTCGTGTGACTCTTTTGAAAGTCATAATTTGAGTACTACTATTGTGTTACGATGCTTACTCACATTTCGAACTATGTGAAAAAATTCAGACTACGTAGTTTTGTACTTCGTTTTATTTTTACATTTCTGTCAGACTAGTGTTACAGCATTTTTCACATGACTCTAGATTCTTCTGAAGCCGTGCTCATATACTACGAGTAAGAGTGGAACTCATGCAGATTGTCTGCCATTTGTTGTGATCTAAAAAACTTTTAATACTGTTTCTGCAATAATTAAAGATGATTCTCATTGACTATATGAATACATCGAATGATGCCCGGAGAAATGGTTCATCAGTAATTATTTCAGTTATTCCTGTCTGTTTTCAGTTTGACGAAGTTTTGCGTGCAATGAGTGTCTTGTCAACTCACTTATGACTAAAAATAGTTTCATATCCTATTAAGTCATCATTTATTGGAAAGATTTAGAGGAGCCTATTACTACTGACAAATCATAGCTTTTACTATAATGATCAAGATAAAAAAAGAGTAGTCGAAAGTTGGAGAATTGAAAATTAAACCATCATTTTTTCTCCACCAAGCCTCTGTCATAATGATCCATTCAACAGAAGTTAGACCGTTAATATTTGCCTAGTCAAAGCTTTCAAGTTGTATCCACTAAGAAGCAAAAGATCGGTCTTTGAGCCTTCGGTTCTCACTTTGAGAAAGCGAAGCTATGGAAATGCTTAAATGTCAAGGAATTTCTGGTAGAAAGTGATATGAAATCATAATCACATCTAGCATAATTTTGAAATCTAAAACCATTTGAATTCTTCTGTCTTCGAAACTGAAATATCAACAATATGAAACCAGATTCAAGGGCTACGATACATGCCTTCACAAAAGACTATTCTAAAAAAAAATACTTCACGAAAATACAATTTTTTTGGAAACACTGCATGAAAAAAGAAGATGGTTCAGAAATACTACGTATGGCGCTACTGCACTATATGAGAGGTTAATAAGCATGTAGAGATTCAATATTGGTCCACTCTAATCTCTCTAAAAATGAAGATGTTGATCGTCGTTCAATAGAATCTTCTAAAACAAACTGTACAATTCTATCATTAGATTTATAGAAAATCAGTCTTGTTGAAAAGTGACATTTTATAAACTAGGCGCCAACTTGACAAAACTTCAATAAATTGGTCTCAAATTGGTTTTCGTAAAATAGAATCTAATTCTAGTTCCCATGATCTAGACATCGCGGAGTCATGATCTATATTCCAGAGATATCTATCACAGCTGAAAATCTGTTGCAACCCCAAAAGAGTCAAGTCTATCATGCGACTGCCACAAAAGATCTCGAGAAATTCTTCGAAAATCTCCTTCGTCACTGTTCTAAATTATCACAGTAAGGTTGAATCCATCAGATTCACTACGATTCTCACTGCTAGACCCTCAAATCGAATGCAAATACATGCAATTTTACGGCCTTCCTAAAAGAAAAGCTGACGCTGTCATGGCGGCAGCACCGCCTTACATATAACTAGTACGAGTGCAATGAATACTCATACTCATATCATGTTAGATGTAATCAGGGACCGATGTAGATTAAGTTACGAAACTTATTTCATATGTTAAACAACGATAATTGGGATTCCCGAATTTCGCCAATAAGACTTTCGCCAACAGGACATTCGCCAATGGCGAAAGTCCAGTGTACTTTCGCCAATATACCCTGGTGACTTTCGCCAATTGGCGAGAGTCCACTGTANACACTAGATAACACGTAATTAGAATCATGTTCAAAAATTATTCTAGTGAAATTCCGTTTAGGTTATTTTCGAAATGAAACACCTCGCAAATATAAAATTTTTAATTACACTTGTTTATAGTGATTATCAAATTATCTAATATGTCCTATTCAGAAAAACATAAGTGCAAAAACAATATTTCGTTATATGCATATGATAATTTTCAATAGTGATATTTCAGAGAAAGAGATACTATATGACATAATACTTTCGTAATCAACTTGTCCAGTTGAAGACTTTCAATATGTAAAAGATGACTTGCAGTTTCTCAAGAACTTCTAACAACAGAAAGACTTCCACTATTTAATAGCGCGTGTATCATCAAGTTTTACTGAATAATGTTCGCATATCCATAAGGTGGCGCCACCTTCGTTGCATTCTATCCTGGTCACCTCGAAGGTAACATCACCTATTGATATGTCAATAGTACTCAACAGAACCTGATAATAGATAGGCTATTAGATGGAGGAAGTGTTTCTTTACAAGCCTAAATATATCTTATTCTATAGTTAAAACGTAATAGTCGACTGTGAACCCGAAAAATTTGGTTTTAGAAAATGATCTAAGGAGAAGTACAATGTTTTATTGAACAACTCATGAACACAAATTGTTTTAAATTTTATCTCTCGTCTCAATAAGATAAGACTCATCTCAAAAATGATTTATCGATTATTGAGATGGTCTTGACAATCATAGATTTTTTTTTTCTTTACCACTATACATAATAATTGACATTAAATTAACAAATATCCATATAATATATTGTTCCCAATAACAAGCTATTAGTAAACATTGTCCAATAACATTTAGTCCATTTGTTATTGCATCAAATAGGTGTGGTATAGATCGTCTTTCAAATAAGTATGATGATGTTAAATATTTCGAAAACATTGGAATTTCATAATAAAATAAAAAGGCTAGAAAAAAACTTAAAAAACCAACAACTATCCAACCACTAAATTTTAATGATTTAACACGTGTTGTAGATTTATTATCTAATTCTTTTGACCATAAATATATTCCAACAAATTGCATTGGTAAAAAAAAGAATAAAAATAATTGTGCATCACCAACATAACCATAAGCAAAAGCATAAATACCATATAGAATCGCACCGGTTATACCCCAAAAAAATGATGAAATCTTACCATATATTACAAGTATAACATATAAAACATTTGTAAATGCTGATATACCAGAAAAACATAATAAAATACGACGCCATAATGGTACACCATCATTTAAATCATTAATCCATTTTAATAACGAACGTGTTCGTTCGTGTGAAAAAAACGAATTAAAATCCTTCAAAAAAAAAACAAACAAAAGAATAGTATTATTTCAAAATAAATAAAAAAAAGTTCATTTTTAAAAAAATATTTACCAATATGGAAAAAACAACATTGAACGCAGCAAAGAGAGTAAATATTAGAATTTGCCAATATTTAAAATCTTTTATATCAGGTATTATTGATTGGAATACAAGTTTTAATTGTTGCATATAACGTTTAATAAATAAATATAACACTGAGGATTGATTTTCTCCATTAACTATATTACTTTCAATACTTTCTTCTTCACTATCATCAAGTGTACTATTTGTTGGAATATATTTTGTTAATATTTCGTTTTTATTTGTTTTTGTTAATTCTAATTTTGTTGTATTCATCGCCGTCGATGTCGACGGTTAATAAATATTGAATAATTATTATTTATCATGAAATACTAAATTCATATAGAATACAAAAAAAAACAGTTTATTACGTTTGTTAAAAATTATATATGAAAATATGTCAACAAAACAAGTCTACGTGAAATTATTTCTCTCAGTCTTTTTTTTTCTTTTCCTTTTGCCTGTTTTTTTTTTCGCATGCTGAGGAATCGCAGAGAAAAAGAAATAAGAAAAACATGTGCTAGAAACAATGGGAACCTTAACATTGGCTGGAATACAAAACATAGAACTACTGAGTACTAGCGTTATCTTAGAAAAGGGTAATATACAATAGGTTGCGAAGATTAAAAATAAATATTTATAACTGAATAAAAACACAATGTTATCTACAAAAAATTATTGTTTTGTAAATATTTTGAATGTTTTAATAAATTAAAATACTTTGATTAATAATCTCAAGTGAATTCGCAATGTATTTCAGTTCGATGATGTTTTAGCGCTTTCTCAAAATGTTCATATCTACACGTTTTATATTCTATTTGATGCATTGAAAATATGTAAGATAAGACATGAAGCAATGTTCTAGATATATTCATTTTCTTATATATGATAAAAAAGAATAAAAACAAAAGAAAATGTATAATAATACGAAACGATAATATTTCAAACTTATCTTAGTAATAAAATCTCAATTGAAAAATAAAGCAATTTTTCGGTTATCTTTTTAACAAAAACATTCTATATTTTGTATTCAATGACTCCTATCATATTCAATCGTTACAGTTTTTAAGTAACAGGTCATGCTTACTAAAAATATAATTAAAAATTGACAAAAAATTTATATATTATGAAATCAATAAATCTATTTTTATAGTTTCCTTTTCTTTGATTTTTAATTGAAAATTGATGGAATCATTTAATTTTTAAAATACAAAAATAATCAATAAAATTTAATAATTTTAGTGACTTAGAAACAACTACAATAGATAATGTTCTTGATTCAAGTTCATTATCAGTATCAAATTCAAATAAAAGTCTTAATCGAAGTTCAAGTAATCCAGATTTATCTCCATCATCAATTAGTAATAAATCAATGTCATCATCAATATCAACATTTAATGATACAATTAATGATGATGATAATGCAACATTTGTTGTTAAAGTTTTTCGTAGTGATCAATCATATAAATATTTTCCTGTACTTAAAGTAAGAAAATTAAAAATGATAAAATTTTTAATATACAAAATATTTCTCTTTTTGTAAAAACAAAAAAAAAATAGGATACAACAGCTAAACAACTTGTTATGTTAGCTATAACTGAATTCGGTATTCTTGATCAAAGCAGGTATGTCTCTTTGCTTTTATTGTTAATGCTTAGAATAAAAATAAAATTTGTATAACTAATACTTTGACTTATGCATAATAAGTTTAGTTGTTATTCTTTATTTCATGCCATACTCGTTTTTCTAGCTATGTATCTTCTCCTGAAAACTTTAACAACAAATGTTGCATTATCATCATCATTAATTGTATCATTAAATGTTGNTTTTATCCTCTTATATTCTTATTGAATAACTTTGGTGATCACTGTAAGTACCACAAATGAATATTGTCATACATTGATGTAAGAAAAATAAAATCTTAAGATTTTATATTCTATTTTTTCTAGCGAAATAGTCAATAGAATAAAAAGAAATTAATTTCAAATGATGTTTTCACATTTTTTAACAATCAAACCATTTAGATCACAAGACTTGATGGTTGAAAATATTGATAATTCAAATCCGGGAATTGCATGTGAAACTTAGTCTATGGATTTTTTCTGCTTTTTGTAATCATATAAGTAAGTAATATTCAAAAATCAAGAGATTGTGTGTCTTTTTATTCATTGAGTATTTAGATGATTTATAAGTTTCGAGAGTCTAAAAGAGTGATAGTTCTTCCTAGATTGTTGTTCGACCAGCCAAAATCATGTAAATAAGAAAATTTGAAGAAAACTTATTATAAATTAAACAGAACGAATACATTTGAATTTTATCATTTCAGCAATTATGCAAATAATGTAAGGCTTATTCATTTGTCTTAGAGTAATTGACAAATACTGAGTAATGTTTTTCTTTTTTGCAAAAGACAAAGTAAAAACAACTAAAAGATTAGTATTTTTTTTTCTTTCAAGACCAGTGTATACTTCTTCACAGCTCGATTCAATTACGAGAACTACAGTTTAAAAAAATATATATATATATATATCATGTGGATCATATCTTCATATTGCTATTAAAAATGATTTTTGAAAAAAAGAAATTCTTAGGTAAATACACAGATAAAAATTGTTTTAATCTTAAAATTAATTTTATAAGAATGATTTGTGTATATTCAATCGAATCTTATATATTCTTAATTCTTAATTAAAGACTCTAATTTCAATTATTCGTTTAAGGTAAGAATTAAACATTGACCAAATTACGAGCAATGCTTAGTTTCATACAAACACGGTTGAAGGATTTTTGTTGAATGTTAAAGCTAACGCTACATAGAAAAAAAAAAAAAGAATTTTTGTGGAAGAATATATTTAATTTAATATATGTCATAAATTCAATATTTGTGTCTTAAAAACTATGCTAATAGAGTCGTCTAAAGAAAAAAAAAAAAAACTTGTCTTTGACGTTACAAACAACAGCAGGATATGGAATTATAATTTTGAACGATGCGATCGAAGAAACAAATGAATGCTCTTATTTTCATGCGTTATTACTAGAACTGATGATGTTTCTTTTTTTGTATCAGTTCGGCAACCGGCAACAATATTGACGAAAAAAGAATTAGTATGTGTGTGACACACATCTAACAACAATAAAAAAAAGTTTTTTTCTTCTTGTTTCTTATGATTCTTAAGAAAAGAAAAGTCGAAAAAGAAAGAAGAAGAAAGTGTGTAGCAACAGAATTTCTGTCCAAATATGAAGTGAACAAGCGTGACTGATGAATAATATCTATAACAAAAATTGATCATCTAGAAAACAAGTGGATTATATTAATCTTGATTAAAATATGCTTATAAAGAATTGCTATATATTAAGAGTTGTATGACTATATAATGATGTTGATGTTATACATTGATGATGATGTATTTTTTAACTATGAGAACTTTGTTGTGTCTCAAGTTTGAAGTTTTTCTTGTTAGCATAAACGGATAACGAAAGAGATCGAGAAAAAAAGAGGAACGAACACCAACTTAATTCGATTCAGATAACGTTTCTTAGTCTACACCCGACATATCGGCAACACAAAAGCAAGGATGACTTAGCGGAAAAAGACGATCGTCTTTGCAAGCACAAGAAGAAAAAATAATAAAGGAAAAAGGGAGAAAGAAGACTAGCAATCTTGAACAGTAATCATTGAACATCACTCTCATACGAGTCGTCTGCCGACAACCATAGAAAAATATTAGTGTAGTGCACAACTTATTATTGATAGATAGAACGATCAGTAAAGAATCAAAATAGAATTGTATATACATGTTTGGTTATTAGTTAATCAATTGTATGCGTAATCGAATAGTAAGATTATTAATAATTAGGAAAATTTTTAATTGAAATTAATAAATAATTTTATTTCTATTGTTTTTATTTTAGATCTTGGGAATTTTATATTTCGTAAAAACAATGAAGCATTGCAATGGCTCATGGTGTTCGAACAAAATACGAGTTTAAATTTATTTCTTTATTATACAAATCAATGTTCTCCTTACGTCATGTCACTATAAAATCGTTAATTCTTGATTCATATTTGTTGCCTTGCTATTATTATCTTTTGTTATTATCTCCATGTTCGAGCAACTTTCTAAATTGTCTCGTTCCGGAACAAATCATTTTTTGACCCATATTTTCATCATCATATGGCTATTTACTATCTTCCCACATTCTCATATTGTTATGTGTTATTTTAATCGTCTATCAGGTATAGAGAAATTTCGATAGGATTTAAATATTTTTCTTTTTTTGAGAGTAAACTTTGAAATAATTAAACAATTCCAATATATTGATAATAACAGATAGAATTTTCATTTAAGCAATGACAATTTTTTAAGTAAAAATAGTAAGCAGTTAAAATCTATGAGAATACAAAGAAATCGAATGTTAGTCGGACAAAACTGATGAGTAAAAAATCTATCGATTTTTTTTCTTGTCATTAGAACTGAAATTGTCAGGCTCTATGAGCTATTTTTCTACTCGATAACCATTATTTTCATACTCATATGAAACATTTTTTCTCATAGTAGGCTATTTTTCAAACTGTTCGCATGTCCTCAAATATTCGTAAAGCTCGGATAAGCACTTATAAATCGTACTTGTGAATGACTGCAAATCATTTAACTAGAACAAAAAAAACTCCTAAAAATAAGAAATTCAAATGCATGGGAACATTTTTTGCTCAAGTGAGCATCTCTAAATACCTGAAAGTGCTTCTAAAGTATTAATAACCGAAAAATTTGAACTATTTTAAGCGAGCTTACATGTTTTAATTTCCACATGGGTAATAATACTTAGCTGATGGATATTTTTGAATCTTAACTTTGGTCGAGAGTGGAAATTTCGATAGAGATTTCAGCATGTTCTTCTATTGATTGTGTATATAAAAGAATGAAAACTTTAAATTGAGTCAAATTTTATTATTAAAAGTAGAATATTTAAAAGACAAGTTAAAAAAAACAAATTCTCGATAAATCGGGATGGAGGCGTGGATGCAATTCAAGTTTTTATCTTTCCAATTTTTCTATATTTTAACTTTTCGACCAAAGTTTAGAGAATTGAATATTTTATTTCTATGATATATTCAACCATAAGTCTTAAATCATAATTTATATATTTTTAGCTGTTTCACCTGCATANAGTTCAAATTTTTCGGTTATTAATACTTTAGAAGCACTTTCAGGTATTTAGAGATGCTCACTTGAGCAAAAAATGTTCCCATGCATTTGAATTTCTTATTTTTAGCT